TTCACTATTAAGTTTATTCTTATAACAATTAATTGGAATTGAGGTTATCGAAAGTCATTAATCGATTTTAATTGAAGTTTTGTAAAAAAGGGGTGTCATTCCTTATTGAGTTACTTTCCCATTCCTATTGTTGTTATTGAGATTTTATACATATTATATTTGAGCTGAGGGCTATTTGTTGTGTAAATATTGATATTGTTGGATCTTTGGAAAGGTTATGGCCCATGGGCACTAGTGTTGCGAGTTGATATGTCGTGTTATTGTGATATCAGCATTTGTGAATTGTTGTGTGGTTTTGGTTGTTGTTATGCATAGTATAAGGGTAAAATTTCACCGGTGTTGTTATGCGGAGTATAAGGGTGGTATTTCACAGTTATTTTTATGCAGAGTATAAGGGTGGCATTTCACCGTTGTTATGCCGAGCATAAGGGTGGCATTTCACCATTGTTAAATGTACGGAGTGATAAGGGTGGCTATTGTGTTATTGTCCGAGTGGAGTGATAAGGGTGGCTATTATACGGAGTGATACGGGTGGTTATCAGAGAGATAACGGTGGAAAATGTTATTGTCAGGGCGTAGTGATAAGGGTGGCTATTCCGCGGTGTGATATGGGTAGATATCGAAGAGATAAGGATGGCATTGTCAGAGATGATGTGTGATGGTTTGGATACATTATGTTGGTGATTTTCGTGTGATGGTGTACTTTTCCTTGTGTTTGTCATACACCTTATGTGACTTGCTTTGTTGTTTCGATGAGCTACTCGATGTCTTTGATATTACTTGTTGACTTGGGCTGCAGTAGTACACTCGCACAAGCATACACCATAGCATGCCCATTATACTAGATCAGGAGTATGAAACTTGACATTTATTGATCATGCCCATGTGTTCTTGTATTATCTGTTTCCATGTTCATATTAAGCCTACGACCATGCCAGGTAGATTCTGATTGTGAGCTTGTGACCATGTCAGGTGGATTGGGATTGTGAACCTGTGATCATGCCAGGCAGTTTGTGACTGTTAGCCTATGACCACGTCGGGCGGATTGTGAATGTGAGCATGTGATCATGCCGGGCAGATTGAGATATTTGCACGTGAGTTATCCGTGCGGTTGTGATTCGAGATGTTGGCCCGAGGTGCCGTGAGTACATGATGATGGATAAATACATGTGACTTGTGACTATGAGATGAGGTATCATAGGGTGATTTCTTTGTGAATCTTGTGTTAGCACGACTTGATTAGTTGATTGTCCTCTCTGTTCCTTATTTGGTTTCAACGATACTTCTCGGTGTTCTTGTTTCTCTACTGTTTATATCACATGCTGATTTTGTTATCATTTACTGATTTCTTCTTTCTGTTATTAGCTTTATATTTCTATACTGCACATGTCACTTTGTATAGTGAGTGTCTTGACTTGTACCTCGTCACTACTCCAACGAGGTTAGTCTTGATACTTACTGGGTACCGATCATGGTGTACTCATACTATACTTCTGCACATTTTTGTGCAGATCCAGATACTTCGGAGTGTGTGCATTGTTAGATAGCGGATCAAATATTGCTGTGGAGACTTCAAGGTCTACCTGCCTCCGTGTTCGCAGGCCTCGGAGTCACCTTCGGAAGTTATTTGTGTGCATTTTATTTCTATTCCGGAACAGTTGTACTTAGAGATTTTCTAGCGAACTCAGTAGAGCTTATGATTGTACTACCAGTTTTGGGATTGTTGGCTTTGTATAGAAATTTCTGTTTCATATTTAATAGTTGTTGGTTGAATTTTGCCATTTATTCAGTAAGTGTTAGGCTTACCTAATTTTAGAGATTAGGTGCCATCATGACATTCTACGGAGGGAAATTGGGATCGTGACACACATGCTTTATGTTAATTTGTTGAGCATGAAATCAAATATTAATTAGTTTAATATTAATATTACTTGTTAATTTGTTTAACATGTATAGTATGTTAATTAGTTTAAAATTAAAAAGAAAAATTATGTGAATTTGTATAGCATGTAGTAAATGATAATTAGTTTGACATTACTTTAATTTACATACTAATATAAGTTATTTGTTAACTTATGATCTATATGGGATTATAAAATTATGATAGATAATTATATTATCTTAAACATGATTAAGACGCTTAGTTAGATAATTGAATAGGTTAATTTTCATAATATTTTAATTTTTGGATGACGATTGGGAGCATAGTGAACTTTCGACTCCATGATTAATTTATGTGTTTATTAACTTAATCAATTGATGCTTAGTGTCATAATATGTATATATGTTGAATATAGTGCCTTGTGTTAATTTGTTTTTATATGATTCTCATGATATTTTTGTTTTGTTAAAGAATGACTACTGCTTCGAAAAATATTGGTACTGAGCTCAACAAAGGGTTGAAACTCAATAACAATAACTATGAAACTTGGAGCTTGAAAATCCAGTATGTGTTAGAGGAGCAAGAGGCTCTGAAGGCCATTAACAATATCATGAATGAGCATGAAAAAGGCAACACTGCTCAGCATAGGCGTGAGCATGAAGCTTATGACAGTTGGAAGAAAAAGAACTCCATTGCTCGCATTACATTGTCGAGCACCTTGGATGATGACATCCTAAGGGAATTTAAGGATCAACAAAGATCTATGGATCTTTAGAATGCTTTGAGGAAAATGTTTGGTACATGTTCCATCGCAAGGCTGCGATCCTTAACGATCAAATTTCATTCATATAAGAAACACCCAGAACATTCAATGAAAGCACATATGGGGCAAATGAAAAATATGATTGGGGAGTTGAAAGATGCTGGTCATGTGTTGACTGATGGACAACAAATTCAAGCTGTCATACGCTCTTTACCTAATTCTGGGGATCATATGAAAATGCATTTGACCCATAAGCAAATCACAACTCTGGAAGATATCCGGAGGCATCTTGAGTTAGAGGATGAGAACTTGAGGGTGCAAAGCCAATAGCTGAGTTGCTCATGCAACAACCTCAAAAACCAAGAGCGATTCAAAGAAAAGGAACTGGGGAAAGAAGAGAGGTCCAACTCAAGCTCAGCCAGCTCAGCCTGCTAAAAGGAAAAAGAATGAAAAAGGCAAGAACAGACGTCCCAAATGTGTCAAAGTTGCTAAAGTAAAATACTATAATTATGACAAAAAGGGCCACTATGCTAAAGATTACTTTGAGCCTCCTAGAAAGGTATTACATGATGCTCGAATTAGTGAACTTTGTGTTTCTAGTTCTATTTTTCTAACTAAATCTAATCCTTTGTGGTGTGTAGACTTAGGAGCAACGAACCACATAGCCTGGGACGCAGTGCTTTTATTGAATTTTGGCGAGTTCCACGTGGAGCAAAGTGGATATATGTGAGAAATCACAATAAGGTTGATGTTAAAGGGATAGGTACATGCAAGTTAGTCCTACGTGGCAGTCGAGACCTAATACTACATGATGTTCTCTTTGCACCAACAATTCGCTAGAATGTTATTTCACTTTCAGTTTTGTTTAAGCTAGGATATGACTTGTTTTGTCATGGCAATTCTGCCAAGTTGACTTTTGGTTCAACTTTATTTGGTTTTGGTAATGTGACCGGAGGTTTACTTATTATGGATTTAGATTATGATTCATTTAATAATAATGCTAGTTTTTCTATGTTTGTTTCTTCACATAAATATGGTAGTGATGTAAACATATGGCATGCTAGACTTGGTCATATTGGCCAATAAAGAATGCAAAGGTTAGCAAAACAAGGTTTTTTGAATATGTAGAATTGTCCACTTATGAAAATTATCTAGCTGAAAAATCTACAAGAAAACCTTTTGGTTAGGCGAATAGAAATGAATATCCTTTGCAATTAGTCCATTCGACATCTGTGAGCCTATGAATGTTAGGGCTAGGCATGGAGCAAGTTATTTCATCACATTTATTGATGACTTTACCCGTTTTAGTTGTGTCTATTTAATTTCTCACAAATCAGAAGCAATAAGTTGCTTCAAACGTTATATGAGCTTAGTGAAAAATCAATTAGACAAGAAGATAAAAGCTCTTCGAACTGACTGTGGTCGTGAATACCTATCAATCTAGTTTAATAATTTATGTGATGAAAAGGTAATAGTTTATCAGTTGACTATCCCAAATACTCCACAATAAAATGGTGTTGTGGAGAGAGGAAATAAAACACTCCTAGAAATGGTTAGGTCAATGATGGCACAAGCTAACCTCCCAATTAGTTACTGGGGTGATGCATTGCTTACTTCCACATATGTACTTAACCGAGTGCCTACAAAATCAATTATCACTACTCCATATGAGTTATGGATTGGAAGACAACCCGACCTGAGTGTATTAAGACCTTAGGGTTGTGCTGCCTATACATATGATTCTTCTCTGAAATATGGCAAATTAGGCCTGAAGGGAAAGAAAAGTATCTTTATAAGATACTCTGAAACCTCAAAGGGTTAGGTGTTTATAGGTCATCAAGACAGTAGGAGTGTAACTGAGTTTGAATCACGAGATGTCATATTTTTAGAGGATTAGTTCCCTAAGAAAGGAGAGGTAGGTCAAGACCTAACCTTATTTGAGATAATGGATCAAGAAGTACAAGGATCACTTCATTCGAGTGGGAGAATTTTAGCAGATGATGAATTAATTTCTCACTAACGACCTTCTTCGTCATTAGATGCGAATAAAAGTAGTCCTGTTACATTTAGTGGAAGTGACAAAATAGATCTTATTTCAAGTAGGAGCGAGATGGTCCCAGATCTTATTCCAAGTGGAAGTATGATGAATGTTCTTGATCCGAGTGGGAGTAATATTGATCCAAATGGAAACAATGATGAATCGCATATAAGACGTGGTTCTCGTAAAAATATTCCATGCCAACGATTTAATGTTGAAGGCGGTGAACTATTTATAATGCTCCTACAAGAAGAAAACGAGCCTAAAATTTAAAAGAGGCTCTCTCATGCCCTTCTAAGGATAAATGGACAAAAGCAATGGAAGATGAATTGGAGTCTACTAGAGTCAACAAAGTTTGGGAACTAGTTGACCTTCCTGAAAGAAGGAAAGAAATTGGGAGCAAATGGGTTTTCCAAATTAAGCTCAAGGCTGATGGCACAGTTGAGAGATATAAGGCTCGACTGGTGGCGAAAGGGTATACACAGCAGAAAGGAATAGACTATGAAGAGACATTCTCGCCTGCCGTACGATTTACCTATGTTCGCCTAGTTCTAGCTATTGTTGCAAGATTGAATCTTGAATTACATCAGATGGATGTAAAGCCTTTCTCAATGGAGTATTACATGAAGAAATTTATAGGAACAACCTGAGTGTTTCATTGAAAATGGCCATGGACAAAAGGTTTGTAGACTTTTGAAGTCTATTTATAGCCCCAAACAATCTTCAAGGTAGTGGTATATACTCTTTCAGAATGTTCTTGTATCCAATGGTTTTACCATGATGGATGGAGACCATTTTGCTTATAGCAAAAGATCAAGGAACAAGCTTGTGATTTTAACATTGTATGTAGATGACATTCTTATAGCTGAAAATGATAAGGAGTTTATAACCGAGATAAAGTCATGGTTATCATACCAATTTGAGATGAAAGATATGGGTGATGCCGCATATATTCTTGGAGTTAAGATTTCAAGAGATCGTCCTAAGAAACTGTTGTATCTCTCACAAGATAATTACATTAGAAAAGTTCTTGAACGACTCAATATGCAAAATAGTAGCCTAGTTGATACTCCTATCAGTAAAGGCCATACCTTGGAAAGTCAGATGTGTCCTAAGACTCCTAAAGAGCTAGAAAGAATGATCTGAGTTCTTTATTGGAGCACAGTCGGAAGTCTAATGTATGTAATGATATATACTAGACTTGATATTTGTCAAGCAGTTGTGGTAAGTAGATATCAAACCGACTTAGGTTTAGCACATTGGCAAGTAGTAAAGCGGATCATGAGATATCTGAAGGGAACTGCTAATTATGCCCTTTGTTGCCAAGGCGGCAAGGATATGCGATTAGTTGGATACAGTGATGCTGATCATGGAGGAGATATAGACTAAAGGAAGTCTACCTCAAGATATATTTTCTTACTCAGTGATGGTGCCATATCATGGAGTAGTAAGAAACAATCATGTGTATAACTATCTACGATGAAAGCCGAATATGTGGCTCTTGCATCAGCTTCACAAGAAGCTGTTTGGTTGAAAAAGTTCTTGGAACGTTTATTGGATATTGTAGAAAATATTGAACCAGTGTTAGTAAATTGTGATAGTGAAGCTGCAATATCCTCTACCAAGGACCCTAAGTTTCATTGTAAAACCAAACACATAGATATCAAGTATTACTATGAGAGAGACATGGTTAGACGCAAGGTAGTGAATGTGAAGTATGTGTCTACAAAAGATATGTTAGCAAATCCATTGACCAAACCTTTGTTTAGAGATGCATTTGTGAGACACAATAGGTCTCAAGGTTTGCGTAGACTTTGATGTTCTTCATTTTGTTATTATTTTCCCGTATTCACAAAACTGATGTTCTTTGATTATCAATAAAGTTGATTTACATATATAAATATTAGTATTTGCTAAATATATGTGCATTCTTTATTTATTTAATTTTTTATAAGTATATCAGGTAGACAAGAAGTTAGCCTTCTCACACAGGCAACTGCCTCCCTATCTTAGTGATGAAAGGAGATGAGACATAATTTTAAGCAAAATTATCATAAGGATAATTTGAGAGCTATTCGATTAAAAACAGAATGTCACTTAAACAATAACATAAGGTCATTAGGGTGAAAAACATTCACCTAGTCTACTTTGTGACCCAGATGTGAGTTAAATATGATTTTGTAGATCAAGAAACTCAAATATGGTGTCTAAATATCATCTGTACAACATTCTTTATGAGATAAAGACATACACTCCTTGGAAAAAGGGAGAAAATATTGTAGCACCTGTTTCATACCATGTGTGCTAATGTCGACCAATTGGGTTAACATAAGTCCATTCTCGACTTATTGTTGTGTGAAACCCAGAGCTTTTGTGATGGCTCAAGATTTTGTACCCTCAGAGACTCCGATCAAATGCTGGAGACTTAATGTGATGATTATCTATCTTAGTATGTTTCCAAAGGACCATGTACACAAATTCAGTGTAGCGAAGCATATCTTGAAAAGCATTCAAACTAATGTTAAGGGGATTGTGAAAAGAGGAAGATCATCGATAAAATCTCATTTATTTGTATTTAATGTTGCACCAGTTATAACTTATGAGTTATGACTGTGAATACAAGAAATAATGATATATGAGATTTTAAAATTATATCAAATATGATTCATATCATCTAGGGCACTGCATACTTTATGATCTACTTGCAGGTTTGCACTCGACGAGAGGCTATATACTCCTATTAGATGTATAACACTTAGCTCTCACATTATGCCGCACGGTCTACTTCCCTGTATGAATTATTGAGGAGATGACATGAGAATATGTTTCTCAGACTAGATGAGCACTCCCATTATGTGTGAGTGGGAGATGTAGGAAATTTTGGGTCCATCCATAAGGGGTGCTTTAAGGCCCAATAGGGTTATTAGTTAACCCTAGTATTCCCTATATAAGTATACTTACAGTATACAATATAAAAGACTCTAAGCTGTAATTTTCCACGTTCTCTTCTTCCATATCAGACAAGGGGTTTAAATTGTAATATATGGGGTTTCTCCAACATACCGTGACAACCACCGCCGACCAATAATTCCAGCCACGGTTCGTCCATCGCTTCCGCTACGTGAACAAGTAAGTTCTCATTTTACAATTTACGCGCTAAATTAATATGTTTAGTTCATCACCTTCCTTCAACGCAAAATTAAATTAGTTGGACTCGTGAATTTCGTAAACTCACGATTAGACAAGAAAAAGAAAGAATGCGAATGCCAACTAGTTGTTAAAGCTAACTGCATAGATATATAGCAATATGCTCAATATAGCCCCGTAAACAAAATCTTGTGGACAAGAAACTTAATTCGAAAATAGTGAATACATGCATGAAATAACATGATTAATGTATGTTCTATTCATAGGGGTCCTCCAAATATTCTTGAAGATAAAAATCATTCAAAATGACCCCAGAAATAATGATGGATCATCAAGGGCTTGACCATCCTTCCATGCTGTGCAGTCCCATCCAAGACTGAAGGAGGCTATAGTTCATTGCACATCTCATTCAATTAATGACCTTTGTAGGATAATTGATATGTGGGCTCAGTTTTAAAGAATGTCCTTAACAGTGCACACGAGTGAACTTGGTTGGATCCAACTGCCAGCTCCACATAAATTAACGTCACTGGGCTAGGTTGGGAATTTAATGAAAGCTATAAATGAAAAAAATTTCCTTTGTTAAATTAAGGTCAATAACATTAACGCGAACTCAGAATTTGAAATGAGATTTTTTTGTTCCTATAAAATATTTTAAATTTATTTATCAAAATTGTTCTAAATTTGTATATTACCCGCTATAATTATCAGTTCCTTACAATTCATATGCAATCCATTATTAGCGCCTTAAATTGGAGATTCAGTTACACCATTTTTGTTTTCTCTCCTCCCTCTTTCCCTATTCTTTGCCGCCAATCTCCACCCAAAACTCCCTTTATTGAGTGTCAAACTCGGTACTAGACTAAATTTTAAACCATTATCTCTAATATTTGTATTGCATGAATATCACATGTGATAAAATTTTATAATCTTTTGAGTACTGCCTATTGGAATTTAAGTAAAATATTCAACGCCTCCGCTTCCGTCGATGTAGCACCAGCAATAATAGCAATAGAAACTCGACGATGATGCTTTTAATGTGAAGCTCGAAATTTCTCCACCTAAATCATTTAGTTTCCATCAATATTCAAGTTTCTCAGTTCAAACAAACATGAATAAGTGCACATGAGTCGATTTGGAATTCATTCTCCACTTCTTTATTTAACAAATCGAGTAAGAAAAGAATATCATTGGTACAACAACATATGAATTAAAAATAATTTCATACAATTTTGATACATCTACAACAACATACAAACTAAAAATAAATTTTATTCAACTAATTATATAGTATACAACTTATTTATAATTTATCTACAACTTTCATACATCATTTATATAACTACAATATAACTACAATATCATACAACTTAAATATAACTACAATATCATACAACTTAAATATAATTTTCATACAATTTATATAACTAGTCTCAGAATACGCGCTTTGCGCGTGTACCCTAAATTTTTTAAAAAATTACGTGAATATTATTAGACTAAGTGTTTGAGTTATATAAAATTTAAAAAATGAAAATAATAAGTATCCTTCCTATTTAGCTAGCTCAATAAATGAAGATGTTATTGTTGTAATTTATGTATCAGAATATTTTATGAAAATTATTGTTGTTCATATAGTCTAATACTGAAAACAAAAACAAAACTGCTAAAAGCATGATTTTTCAAATATTTATCAGATAACACAAATTGAAAATTGAAATTGGAAATGAAAATATTGGGCATTCACCTCATACAAATTTGATAATGACAATATAAAGTCTAAAAATAAGTACAGACATATAAAAAATGGTGCTATTACGGCTACACCTCCCGCTTTGTCAGGTATACTACAAAGAATGTATTAATATTAAATTAATATTTTACGGTAAATAACTTAATATAGAAATAATATAATTAGATGTATCCATTCATTGGATCAAATGCGAATGACAATTCATTTATATTTTATTATTTTATCCTAGCTGCTTAAAATTTATTAATTTGGCTCTTATATACTATATTATAATCGATTTTGCTAAATATTTTTCTTAATGTAAGGATTTTGTCAACTTGACAACTAATTTTATTTATACGATAAATTTGGAAAACATTAAATTGAATTTATTTGCTAATTAGTTAATTCAAATACTTAATTATTTATTTTATAATTAAAAGATATGATAGATATTTTTAGATCATTTCTTTTTTGTACGTTACAAAAAGAGGATATACAGTAGCTTCCTCTATTTGGATCCACCTTTTATTTTTGCAATAACTCTTGCCTTTCTTATTTCGTTAGGACTCCTCAAACCATATAGATTAACGTCTTTCAATATGTTATGATAGCTATAGTCTAAGAATTAGGACTTCTTACTTAGTTCAATAAAGAAATATTAATAACCAAAATTTTAGGAGATTTAAATGATCTAATTAGGAAAATAACTTAAATTATAATTTTCTATTGGAATCATCCTCTCTATCCTCACAAGGTAGGGGTAAGGTCTAC